AATTTCACTTTTGTCTGGTGTGTGATTTGTGCACACACTTACCCCAGGTTTAATTTGCTCTGAGCAGAAACTCAGGCCTCATTAACTGCTGGTGTGTTGAGAACAAACTGCTACCTTGCATTCTGAGGTCATCATGCTCCTGCAGCTGTCCCTGCCCTTGGCCCTCTTCCTTGGCAGTCATCCTGCCAGCCAGTGCTGTCTCCTTGCTTTGTTCCCACCTGCTTGCACAAAGCTCTCTGCCCTCCTCCTCTGATGACCTCACAGTCCACCTATCCTCTCCACAGAACTTGTGACTGCTCCTTGTGCTAAACTCAGTTTCCAGGATCAGGTGAGTATATTGGGGCAGGCTTCATCAGTCTGGAACTACAATAAGGAAGATCATCTTGGGCCCCTACAGTGGAAACAGGAACAGGAAAAGAGCCAGGGCCCAAGGAGGGTGGTATTCCAGGTGACATCACCTGGATGACTGAGTGAGTGTTGCAGTGATAGGGGTTGGGTAAATGGGTAGTTGGAGTTGGGTGATGAGTGGATGAGACATTGGTGATTGTTGATGGCAGATGGGTGGATGGATGAATGAGGGATGGATGAGAGATGGATGAGAGATGGATGAGAGATGGATGAGGGATGGATGAGAGATGGATGACGAATGGATGAGGGATGGATGATGGATGACGGATGGATGACGGATGGATGAGGGATGGATGACGGATGGATGAGGAATGGATGAGGGATGGATGGGCGATGGATGAGAGATGGATGAGGGATGGATGAGAGATGGATGAGAGATGGATGAGAGATGGATGAGAGATGGATGAGGGATGGATGAGGGATGGATGAGGGATGGATGATGGATGACGGATGGATGAGGAGTGGATGAGGGATGGATGGGCGAGGGATGAGAGATGGATGAGAGATGGATGACGGATGGATGAGAGATGGATGAGAGATGGATGACGAATGGATGAGGGATGGATGAGGGATGGATGAGAGATGGATGAGGGATGGATGAGAGATGGATGACGAATGGATGAGGGATGGATGATGGATGACGGATGGATGAGGAATGGATGAGGGATGGATGGGCGATGGATGAGGGATGGATGAGAGATGGATGAGAGATGGATGAGGGATGGATGAGAGATGGATGAGAGATGGATGAGGGATGGATGACGAATGGATGAGAGATGGATGAGAGATGGATGAGGGATGGATGACGGATGGATGAGGAATGGATGAGGGATGGATGGGCGATGGATGAGAGATGGATGAGGAATGGATGAGAGATGGATGAGAGATGGATGAGAGATGGATGGGTGATGGATGAGAGATGGATGAGAGATGGATGAGGAATGGATGAGGGATGGATGAGGGATGGATGAGAGATGGATGAGGGATGGATGAGAGATGGATGAGGGATGGATGAGAGATGGATGAGAGATGGATGGGCGATGGATGGGTGATGGATGAGAGATGCGTGGATGGAGTGGGTGGATATTCTTTCTCATATCCCAGGACATAACACCAAGATGATAAAGACATTTTGCAGACATGCACAGGTGTAAAGCTGCTCAGGCTCGTGCAGCCAGCAGATGGCGGTGGCACAGGTGTGCTCTGAGCCAAGGTCTCCCCATGTCAAAAATGCATCTCTGATGCCACCTTCCTGGGAGCAGCCTGGCCCAGCCCTCTCACAGCCAGGCTGGGAGTGTGGGGCTGTCAGCTGCTCAGGTGCTCTGGCCACCTCCTCTCCTGCAGCCAGGATAACTTGGGTCCTGCTGTCTCAAGCCGGCATCACCCACACCCTTCTCCCAGGGTCCTGCATGCCCCTCATCTTACCCTCAGAGGCTCCACTCAGGTTGCCCTCTCCCCAGGAAACAGCCCTGAACCCCTCAGGTCTGGGGCCAACCAGTGCTGACTGAGGCCAGAGTTGGGTCTGGATCTAGCCACAGCCTCAGGGACCAAGGCTAGTCACCAAGCAGGTGACCCTAGGAGGAACAACCAGGATCTGAATCCAACCATACCCACTCAGAACTGACCACAGTGTGGGGGCAGTCACTCAGAGCCTGCTCAGCCTGAGGCAACCTAGCTAAGAGACCCCACTCCTGGGAGTCCCACACACCCCATCCCAAGTCTTCTGGCCTGCCTCCTGTCCTACCCACTGCTGACCTGGGGTCAGCACCCCTCTAACCTGTCCACACACTGACCAACCCCTAACTAGCCTCACTTTGCTCTAATCTTTTCCACACTCCAGCCAGGGAGGACATGGAAGCTCAGAGAGCTTGAGTAACTTGCCTTAAGTCACACAGCAAAAACAAAGTAGCTACTGGCCTGTGCAGGCCACAACAGCACAGGTGCCCAGCACAGGACAGCAGGTGGTTGTGGATGTAAGGTGGCCCAAAGGCAGATAGGAGGTGACACTAAACTTGGGCCCACAGTCACTGTGACAATACGTGCTCTATTCCAGGCCCAGGGCAGTTCCCACAGGGTTCAGCTGAATCTGGGGGGCCCTTTTCTCCCAGGGCCCAGCCCTGGGCTGAGATCCCAGAAGCTGAAAGCAAGCTGCAATGGGACTGGCACTGCCTGCCAGGTGACCGGCAAGGGGCGCTCAAGGCAAGGCACCATGCCCTGCCCCCAACCCCCAACTGTGCTGGTGGAGAAGGGCAGGATTGCAGGGCCTCAGAGCTGCCTGGGCCCTGGCGGTCCAGGATAGAGGTGACTTGGTGAGGGTTGGGGTTAAGAAACCTGAGATGTCCCATCTCCTGAGAGTTCTGTTTTTAAACCTCATCCCAGCCCTTTGGACACCACACAACCCAACTTACCATATATACCTGTGCCCCAAACACAGAGGACAGCAGATCATTGTGGAGCTGGGGTCACAAGCAAGGACACTTGAACCCTAGGCAGGCTACTGCACACCTCACCTGACCATACCTGAGTGGGCAGCCAGGGGAGGGGCAAGTGATGGCCGTCTGCAGACCCGAGGGAAGGGAAGTGGCTATGTGTAGACACAACAGCCAGCTGGGGAAAGGAGTTTCAGCATGGCCTGTGTGGGCGAGATGCCATGAACCTGGCTAGGAGCACATGCGTTCACACACGAGTGCAGTGGGACACAGGCCAGGGTACATGTAGCTGCATGGGGACCTGGGGGGCTGGGATCTACAAGTTGCTGCCAGTCCATGTGGATGCTTCCAAGAAAAGAGGATCTGGGAGACTGAGTCCTCCTCACCCTAAACCCTTCAGAACCTTTCCTGCTCCACTCCCTCTGCCCATGTCTATAGGCAGAACCAACCTGAGATCTCCTGAAGCCACATCCATACCCTGGCCTGGGATCTGAGCCTGAAAATCCTGACTAGGACAGCCAGGTCCGCGGGAGCTGGCACATGGTTGTCCACACTCCCCTCCCCCCATGGCTGGCACACCCCCTTCATACTCCCAATACTTAGCGAGTTAGGGTCTTCCCCTCCCTGTCTCACAGCCTTTCTGTCCAGTGGCCAGACAGGGTAAGATACCCACAACCCCCTGTACATCAACCTCACTGACTACCACCCCTTGTGCACCAAGATCACCCAGGATGTGCTCAAGGCCAGCACTTCCTCCAGGAAGCCCCCTGGCACTGAGCTGTGGGGTGGAGGCCTGGGCCAGGGAGCAGGTGGCCCATGCCCTGTGCCTGCAGATGGCACGCCTCCTCATGTGAGGCTGCCTCCTTCCTGTTTGTGTGCAGTCACGCTGCAGTAGCAGCTAAGCTTGAAGCCGGGACCCACCTACTCTCTCTACCCCGCACACCCCCATGCCAGGGGACTCAGCACGGCCACTGCCCCTTCCAAGAGCCACCACTCCTGAGCTGCTTTCTCCATAGGCCCTTGTGGCCCAGCCCAGCTCATTGGGGTGAGAGGACATTCATACAGCAGCAGGGGACCTGGGCAGGAGCCCCTAGACTCCCATGGCCCCCAGCTCCTGCCCTGACCACAGGGAGAGTGGGGTCAGATCCAGGTAGGGGTGAGAGTGGTTCCCAACCTGAGCAGACAGCAGCTAATGACAGCCCCTCCCCACATTCAGGCCAGGAGCCCCCCAGGTATGGGCAAAGCTCATCTGCTGCGAGCAGGTGATACAATAAGACACATACACACACATACACCAAGCACACGCAAGGCTCAGGGTAAGCCCCATGAAGACACCTACAAATGCAGTGGCCCTGGACAGACACCAGTGCCCTCCAGACCCACCACAGGCTTGAGCACACCCTCCCTCAACACACCTATGTGCACAGCAAGGGCAGCAGGCTCTGGGAGAGCCACCTCAGCAAGGGCACCTATCCCAGCACCAGCCCTGCCTGCGTCAGCAGGAGGCCCCACCTCCTTCCCACCAGCCCTGCACCTACCCACCCATCCTCCCCCACACCAGCCAGGCACCTCACTGGGAACTGCAGAGGCAGCAGCGACTGGGCTGCTCCTGGAACCTTCCCCAGCGTGGAGAGCAGCAGAGACCCCCTGCCCAGAACCCAGGCTCTCTCCATGCACCAGGGCTGCAAGTCAGAGCACTGGCCAGTGTGGAACACAGCAGGTGAGGCCCCTGGCCAGCACCAAGGGCAAAGGTCCCCCTGGGTTGTGTCAGGGAGTGACCAGGGATGGTGCAGGGGTGGACAGATCTGTTCCCCTCTTTTCTGAATAGGGGCAGCAGTCAGCTGTCTGCTGGAGCAAGGGTCATGGGAAGGGAGCTGACAGGTGGCACAACCTGGAAAAGGCTGGCATAGGCAGCCCCAGACCCCAGGTATCCCTGGCTTGGCAGGGAACTGCCCCCCTCTACAAGACCCCTCCGGCCATACCCCATGGCTCTTTGTCCTGTTTCCCAGTGTCGTTCCCCAGGTCACACTTCACCATGCAGGTCCCCCGAGACCCCGGGTCCCTGGCTGGCCTCCCCAGGACAACAGCACCAGACCCAACGCCACCTCCCCAAGCCTCTGCCAGATCTGTATGTGCTGTGCTGATAACTCAGCGATCTGCACTATGAGGCTGATGGGCAACACGGCCATCATTCATGTGATCTTAAGAGCACCCAGCATGAAGACCGTGACCAACATGTTCCTCCTGAACCTGGCCGTGGCCAATGGGCTCTTCACACTGGTGCTGCATGTGAACATTGCTGAACACCTGCTGCAGCGCTGACCATTTGGGCAGCTGCTGTGCAAGCTGGTGCTGGCCATCGACCTCTACAACATCTTCTCCAGCGTCTATTTCATGGCTGTCATGAGCATTGACCGCTACCTGGTGGTGCTGGCCACGGTGCACTCCCATGGCCTGCCGTGCCATACCCACCATGGTGCCAAGGTGGCCAGCCTGTGCGTTTGGCTGGCCATGGCCCTCTTGGTGCTGCCTTTCTTCTCCTTCGTCAGCATCTATAGCAACGAGCTGTGGCCTGAGTTTCCCACAGGCCAAGTGAGCCTGGTTCAAGGCCAGCCATATCCATACACTGGTGCTGGGCTTCTTGCTGCCTGTGTGCGCCGTATTGTGCTATACGCCGACCTGCTGTGCTGGCTGTGGGCCATGCAGCTCTACTCAGGGGCCAAGGTGCTGGGCAAGGCCAAGCACAAGGTCATCATCCTGGTCTTTGCTGTGTTGGCCGACTGCCTCCTCTGCTGAATGCCTTTCCACCTGGCCTCAGTCGTGGCTCTCACCATAGATGCGCCGCAGGCCACCCTGGTCATCAGCCAGTCTCAGCTATGCCAACTCCTGCCTCATCCCCTTCCTCTACGTATTCCTATATGACAACTTTCCCAGGGGCTTTCATGTCCTATCCCCTTGCTGGAGGGCCTGAGTTCCTGACTGCTTCCTATCCCCTCAGTAGTGTCCATGTTGCCAGGGGAGCATCCTGCCTCCTCACATCCCACTGTTCCCATTCCCTTTTCCAAGTAAATGCACGTGTTTATTTTACTGGAAAGACAGGGAGTGTATCCACCTGCTGGTACCCTCCTCAAAGGCCACAGCAATCAGCTCTGAGCCAGGTCAAAACCAGGAACCAGGAGCTCCATCCGGGTGGCCCACATCGGGGCGCGTCAGAGCCCAAGCCTGTGGATCTCTGTCCACTGCCTTCCCAGGCACATCACAGGGAGCTGGGTGGGACATGGAGCAGTTGGGACTCACCTCATAAGGACGGCTCCAACCCTGCTCCCTCAAGAGACCTGAGGTCCTCCAGCAGCTGGCTGCCACAGGCTCGGCCTCTGCCATGCCTGTCTTCTGGACAGCCCCTGGGAGGAAAACAGCAACTGAGGATCCACAGGAGGAGCTGATACAACAGGCACCTGAATCAGGCCAGAAATGTATGGAGCAATGCCACTAGACCCCATCTGCCTTGTCACAGAAGCAGGGACCTCTGGAGGGCTGCGTTGGGTTCTACCACCAAGAGCCATGTAGGGAGGGTGTGATGCTGGGCACCTTGGGCAGTAGCCAAGAGTCTGCAGAGGCCAGAACCCCTGGTCCCAGTTGGCAGGAGCTGCTGCTAGGCTCGGGATAGAAAAGGCTCCTGGGCCCAAGCCAGAGCCCATCAGTTGCCAGCTGGGAGGAGCAGGACCCTTTGGCCACATCTGGCTTCCCAGCTGCATCCCTCGGCCTGTCAGCAGCCCAGACTGTGGTGAGCCTGACACCCAAGGAGGGTGCCCACCCCACACACCCCAGCTTGTCAGCCCAGAGTTGCCCCTACCCACCAGCCTTCTGGGGGTCATCTTCCCACGACAGCCCCCTCTACCCCCAAGTGGCTCCTGGGATGGTGCAGGCTCAGCCTGGCTGTGGGCTGAGGCTCTGGTCACCTAGGGGTCTGACAGGGGCCTGCAGGACCTCATGGTGTCTGCAGAAGCCTGAACAGCTGGGCACGCGGACACCGCATGGGGGCTCAAGGCTCCCAGACCAAGCTGTCTGAAGTGGCAGGAGAAAGGGTCCCAGAGGGCACCAGCCACCCTGGCTCCACCTCCGGGTCTGCTGCGGCTCGAGGTCCAGGGGGCTGTGCTTGCTCCAGCCCCCACTCCCACACCTGGGCCGGCAGGACGTGATGTTCCAGCCTCACTCCCTGCTGTTACACCTTCGCTGGAGCTGCCTAATTACCCAGTGGAAAGGCTCAACATGCGAGTATGAGGTGTAGAGCCAGTAGGAGAGCCCTGGGTGTGAGGGGTGAAGAATGAGAGGAAGAGGGTGATGTGTGGAGCATGAGGGGCGGGATGAGGAGTGGGATACGGTGTGGAGAGGAAGGGGGTGAGGTGTAGAGCATGAGGGGAGGAAGTGAGAGGTGGAGAGTGAGGGGCGGGTGAGGAGTGGAGAGTGAGGGGCTGGGTGAGGAGTGGAGAGTGAGGGGCTGGGGTGAGGAGAGTGAGGGGCGGGAGTGAGGAGTGGAGAGTGAGGGGCTGGGGTGAGGAGAGTGAGGGGCGGGAGTGTGGAGTGGAGAGTGAGGGGCTGGGGTGAGAGTGAAGGGCGGGTGAGGAGTGGAGAGTGAGGGGCGGGGGTGAGGAGAGTGAGGGGCGGGGTGAGGAGAGTGAGGGGCGGGGTGAGGAGTGGAGAGTGAGGGGCTGGGTGGGAGGGAGAGTGAGGGGCGGGAGTGGGAGGGAGAGTGAGGGGCGGGAGTGAGGAGTGGAGAGTGAGGGGCTGGGTGAGGAGAGTGAGGGGCGGGTGAGGAGTGGAGAGTGAGGGGCTGGGTGAGGAGTGGAGAGTGAGGGGCTGGGGTGAGGAGAGTGAGGGGCGGGAGTGAGGAGTGGAGAGTGAGGGGCTGGGGTGAGGAGAGTGAGGGGCGGGGTGAGGAGTGGAGAGTGAGGGGCGGGAGTGTGGAGTGGAGAGTGAGGGGCGGGAGTGAGGGGAGAGTGAGGGGCGGGGGTGAGGGGGAGGTGGAGAGTGAGGGGCTGGGTGAGGAGTGGAGAGTGAGGGGCTGGGGTGAGGAGAGTGAGGGGCGGGAGTGAGGAGTGGAGAGTGAGGGGCTGGGGTGAGGAGAGTGAGGGGCGGGAGTGAGGAGTGGAGAGTGAGGGGCGGGAGTGTGGAGTGGAGAGTGAGGGGCGGGAGTGAGGAGAGTGAGGGGCGGGTGAGGAGTGGAGAGTGAGGGGCTGGGTGAGGAGTGGAGAGTGAGGGGCTGGGTGAGGAGAGTGAGGGGCGGGAGTGAGGAGAGTGAGGGGCGGGTGAGGAGTGGAGAGTGAGGGGCTGAGTGAGGAGAGTGAGGGGCGAGGGAGTGAAGTGTGGAGAGTGAGGGGCGGGTGAGGGACTGAGGGAGCAGGGCTGGGTGAATTGAAGAGATGGACCGCGGGGTGAAATGAGGAGTGTGAGGGGCTGACTGGGCTGCGCAAGGGCCGCACACCGACGGGTGCCTTTGCCCTGTGCTGCCAGCAGAGAAGCGCCACTGAGGCCTGCCCCACAGACCCAGATTCCCGCCCCTCAGGAGGCGCCTGTCCACCTGGCCGAGCGGGAAGGCAAGAACCTGGGGCGCAGCGGGGAGTTGGGAGTGGACACAGACCAAGGCCTGGAAGCCTCCGGTGTCACGAAGGTCGGCTGCTATTCTCACCAGGGTCCTCTCTGCTTGAGCCGCTGCCCTGCTGCCCTGCTGCCCTGCGGTCTTCGGGGTTCACGGTGGCGCCTTGGGTGTGGGTGGAGCCTGGGGCGTGGGGTGGCGCCTTGGGTGTGGGTGGAGCCTCGGGCGTGGGTGGGGCCTGGGGCATAGGGGTGGAGCCTCTGGCGTGGGTGGAGCCTCACGTGAAGGGACCCCATCATGGGTAGGACTCAGAAGCTTCCAGCTTCCCCAGGGGGCCCCACCCAGCCCTCAGACATGACCAGTCAACACCTGGACTGAGCTGAGTCGGTAGAAGGGCCCGCAGAGACAGTCAGAAATGCCCGTGAAAAAGAGAGCAGTCGCTGCAGGGGAGGTTTACTGAGGCCCTTCCCCTGCCCAGGGAGCCAAAGCTGGCTGCATGCTGCATGCATGAACGGGGCAAGACACAGACGCCAGCACAGGCACACAGAAGACAGCGCGGGCAGCACCATGCCCACGATCTGCAGCTGAGGCATAGCCAGTCCTTCCTGATCTTTCCAGGGGCCTGAGGTCACCTGGCCAAGGTTTCATTGATGGTAGAGGTCCTTCCCAGGTTGCAAGGGTCAGTGCCTCATTCACAGAGAAGCTTCTGCACGGTCAGCAACTGCTGCCCCAGGGAAAAGGACCCCCAAGGTTCAGCTGGAGCACATCTTTCCCAAGGCCGCTGGTCAGCAGGAAGCTCAAGTTTCACCCGGACACCCCAGGGCCTGGGGCTGAGGCAGTTGACAATAGAGAACCGCATGGAGGATGCTGTACCATCCTACCCTGAGCCAGAGGCACAGCTCCCGGCCTCCACCTGCTGGATCAGCCCTGCCTTTTCCTGCATGCAGCGTTCAGCTCAGTCCCAGAAGAGAGGCCCACTGAGGAGTCACCAGTCAGGCTCCCGAGGACAGGTGGACGTGGGGGACCCTGGACTGAACCACAGGTGGGGGTACACAGGGAGCAGCAGGCTGCACAGGTCAGTAGAAGCTTCTTGCCATGGCTGGCAACCCCTGCAAACATCCTCCCAGGGTGCCAGTAATATGGGTGCAGCCAGATGGGCAAGCTCAGAGGAGTGCCTATATCGGGCCTGCTCAGCAGTCCAGAGGAAAGGCCACAAAGCTGACAGCTGGCAGACAATTCACGACCGACACGTGGAGCACACGACTGTGAGGGGCTATTCCCGCTGCAGGCATGTGCCTGTGCAGCACTTGGCCACCACAGCAGATCACAGGCCAGTAACATGGAGCTGGGAGCATGCACATATATACTATAGAGCTCTCTGCTCCAGAATGGCAGCTTGGTCCAATGGGGTCACAGTGGCAACCTCAACACTGTCCCATGGTGCTGCAAAGTGCCTGGGCCCAAGGTGAAGCCCGTCGGCGGCTCAGGAGTCAACCTAGAGAGCAGTGACCTGTGTGAGCTCTGTGTTGGGTGTGGATGGGCTCTGGGGACTGATGGGCCCCATGGGCAGGTCCACGCCTAGTCATGCGGGCCGTGGCACTGTGTCTGGCGTCTTGCAAGCTAGGGCCACATCCCTGGCAACACTTCGCACACGGTCTGACAACTGCATCTCGCGGCGCAGGGTAGACGCGCAGCAGAACCTGCGGAAGCAGGCTTTGAAGTTCTCGTCCAGGAAGGCATAGAGCACAGGGTTGAGGCAGCTGTTGACATAGCCCAGGGCTGTGCAGAAGCGCAGGGCAGCCACAGCAGCCTCGCTACCCGGCTGCACGCCCAGCCCCTGCACCAGCACGAACACCTGCACTGGTGTCCAGCAGCCCACAAACACAGCCACCACCACCAGCACCAGTCGCGTGATGCGGCGCAGGTTCCGGTCCTTCTCCCGTGAGCCGGAGAGCAGGCGCACACCTCGCAGCCTCCGGATCATGAGGCTGTAGCAGACAGAGATGATGAGCACGGGGATGACGAAGGAGAAGAGGAAGATGCAGACAGCAAACACTGGGCCCCAGTAGTCCTGAGGGGCAGGAATGTCCACCAGACACTCGATCTCTGCCAAAGAGAGGTGGGGTCAGAGGGGGAACCCCTGCACCTCCCCCCTCCCCCAAGCCACCCAGCAACTCCAGGGCACCCTGCTGACCTTCATCCTCCACCTGTGCCGAGCCCATGATGGCAACGGGGACACCAACCACAGAGGCCAAGGCCCAGATGGCCACATTCACAGCCTGGGCTTTGCTGGAGGTGCGAACATCCAGGGCTCGGATGGGATGGCAGATAGCCACATAGCGGTCGACACTCATGGCAGTCAGGGTGAAGGTGCTAGTAAACATGTTGTAGTAGTCGATGGCAATGACGGCCTTGCACACGGCATTGCCGAATGGCCAGAAGCCCAGCAGGATGTCAGTGCCCTGGAAAGGCAGAGTAAGCAGCACCAGGGTGTCTGCCAGGGCCAGGTTGAAAATATAGATGTTGGTGGCTGTCTTCATCTTGGTGTGCCTGCAGGGGCCAGGGTGGCAAGACACGTGTTGCTAGGACAAGGGCAGACACCCACCTTGGCCCCAACCCAGTGCAGTGGCCCCCCAGCCCTCACCCAGAGGTTGGTTCCTGGACCCCACCCACTGTGGTGGCACCACAAGGATGGAGTTGGGGGCCAGAACCACTGTGGCTCCATAGGGGCTCTGCTGAGCACAAAAGAGTCCCAAGCAACAAGACTGGTCTGGGTGGACCAGTGGAGACACAGGCGCCAGCACACCTGACACTGCCTGGGCCAGAAAAAAACTGATTTCCTCCCTGGTAAGACACTAGACTGCCCAAGGACTTCCCCACCAACACCTACCTAGCAATGGAGATGGAAAATGATGACAGGATGGAATGCATGCAGAAGGGGTTTGAGTGGATCCAAGCTCCAGTAATATGGCTGGGACAACTGTACATAGCAAATACTAATAAAATAATTGAATGATAATGCTGGTGTTAAGGGTAGTGACTACTGCAAGGAGGAGGAGGTGGAGGAGCAGGTGGAGGAGATGGAGGAGGTGGAGGAGGACATGGAAGAGGAGGTGGAGGTGGAAAAGGACGTGGAAGAGGAGGTGGAGGTGGAAGACGAGGCTCTGTGTCGAGGGCTAATTTGTTCTCAAGGCTCAGCCCTGGCTTGAGAACCACATGCTGCCGCTCTTGGGGTATCTACCCCTGGCCATCAGATCTGAGTGTCCACCACTACTTCTGGTACCAGCACGACAGGATCTGAACTCGCCTCTGCCTCAGACACCCAATTGGCCACAGCACCTTCCCTTTTCAAACACAGGAAGTGACTCTAAGAGGGTGTGATCCAGAGCAGCCAGAAGTGGTTACACCACATGGACTGGGGATCAGCCCTGGAAGGGGCATTGCTCATTTTCAGGCTGGCATCTCACATACATACACTCACTCATTCACTCACATTAGTGTGTGCACACAGCACACACAAGGGTGACCATGTGGCCTTCTATCATTTTCCACTGGGCTCAGGGGGGGATAGGATTTGCTCAGGAACGCATGGGATGGTGGAGAAGAGAGGCAGGGCCTGAAGATTTCCAGCTCTGTCCTGGTTCCCCAAAGTTCCCGCCCTGATACCTCCACCGGGTCCATGAAGAGGGGCCCCGAGTTCAGGCATTTAACCCAAAATGGTGAGGTGTTTCCATCCTGGTCACCTTCCTTCCATCCTGGATCCCACTGGCTAGAGAACAAAGTCTTCCAATTTGGCATTCAAGCCCCACGCTAACTCTGTGCCCAGGTCACTGGGCATACATCAGGGATCACCACAGTAGGGTCAAGGCTCACCATCGTACACAGTGGCACAGGGCCTGCCCCCCTCCTGATAATCTCCCCAACCAAGGAGTTGGCAACCAGGTCTCAGCTGCAACCCCACCCTCTGGACAAGGCCCGGAGGACTTCACGGTTGGGGGTGGAGGCAGAGCCAACCACCTGCTGGGCTTCCCCTCAACCTACCTGAGGATGACATACATGACGAGGCAGTTTCCCAGGAGCCCACCAACACACACGGCCAGGTAGAGCCCTACGATGGTGGTCTGGAGCCCCAGGGGCAGGAAGGCCCCGTGGCTGGCGTTTGGCAGCAGGTGGGCAGGTGGCAGGCTGTGGTTGGGACCCAGCAGAGATAGGTTGCCCTGCAGGTGGCGGCCATACAGCTCCTCCCAGAATGGAGCTGGGAACAGGGACTCCATCAGCGGCACCTGTGTTGGGGCACAGTACCAATGTCTGCCCAGACAGCACCATCCAACACCACGGCACACACCATGCACAGAGACATGAGACATGCTGACACAGACAGACAGACAGGCATCCCATGCAGTCATGCCAGGGTGCATGTCCAGACATAGCCCACACACGTGAACACACAGGACACACAGCTGCTCATGTGTTCCCTGGCATAGCCCACAAACATGAACACACAACACACACAGGCTGAGCCTCCGCCTGTGCCCTTCTTCCCCTCTCCCAGCGACTAGAACCCTCACCTTGGCAACCTCCTTGGGAGCCAGGAACACAGACCCCACCCCTCAGCTCTGAAGCAAACCAGATGAGGAGACTCCTCCTCACAGGCCCCCGCACGGGTTGGAGACCCTTCCTCGCTGGTCCCTGAATGGGTCTGGATGCGGCTGTGGCGGCTCCTCCTCAGCTGACGCCAGGCGCAGCGACGCAGCAAGGAGTGCGGCAGCCAGGAGTGGGGGAGGGGAGCAGGCTACTGCTCAGGATGGGAGGGGCTGCGCAGGCGGGAAGAGGGGGCCCAGGGAAAGTGGGTCACATGGGGCGGGACAGGGCAGACACAGATCCAGACACAAGACATACACAGCGCACACACACACAACACACATGACAGACATGCATGACACATACCAGACACGCACAGCACACAATAGGTCACAGAGCACATGCTCACAGAGCACACAGAATACACACAACAGCATAACACATGTATATAAGCACATGCAGCAAACACATGACACACAGTGCATACAGCACTCATGTATAAGCACACAGTGCAAACACAGCACACACAGCAACACAGGACATACAGCGCCACGCACAGCACATACAGGACACACAGTGGTCACACAGGACATGCACAGTGCAAATACAGCACACACAGGACACACACAACAGCATGCACAGCACACACATCACCTAGGTGACAGGATCACATCCAGAGGCATGACACTGCCCATCTAGGTGACTGACAAGAGGGCATCTCCCCCAGAGCTGGGCTTCACAGATACCATAATCCTTCACATCCTGGACCATGGTCACTGGCAGTGGTCACTCTGAGCAGAGGACATAAGCCAAGGCCACATGGGCAATGCTCAAGTGCAACAAGATTGTCCTCCCTGCCTGCACGTAGGCGCAGCTCAGACTCTCGCCACCCAGGAAGACCCACAGCTTCCTTAGAGGGGTATGGTTGCCAGGCAACGGAAAGCTGTGTCACTAGGATACTTGGTGAATCAAGCGAGGTTCAGGGTTCAGGTCCCAGCTGCTCTCATCAGCCACTCAGCATCCTCCCTGCAGCCACCACAGTCTAAGAACTCACCCCCACACACAGGGAAGCAGAACACAGGCCACAGCAGGCACAGCAGGCACAAAGTACACCAGGAATGAGGGGATGTCTCGGGGGACAGGACCAACACCAAAGTCTTCATGCTTATGGCCATCAGCTGCCTCCAGCCCAGAGAAGGTCCTGGTGGCACCAAAAGGGCAGACAGAGTGAGACCTTGAGCCCAGGGTGGAGAGGGAGAAGGGGGAAGGATTATGGGGAGGGAGGGAGGGACAGGAAGCAGAGGGGAGAGGTAGCCAGTGCAGTCAGATCAGCCAACAACACAACCCCAGTCCTTGTGCCTGTGAGCACTGCCCGCCCCTGCCCAGTCCCTGTGCCTGTGAGAACTGCCCACCCCTGCCCGGTCCCTGTGGCTGTGAGCACTGCCCACCCTTGCTAGTCCCCAGGAGTGAGGCCTGGTTGCCCCCATCCCAGCATGCATTGTCATGCCAGGTTTTCCTTCCAGCCACAGAACACGGATGTCCCAGGACACACCTGTGTTCCTTTTCTGGGTATAGAACCTGCTCTCCCCCTGCCCCAGTCCCAGTCCTAGCCCGGCCATGATGGTGTCCAATGCAAACCAGTAGAGCCCAGGCAAAACCTTGCAGGTGTGTCGGCCAGTGCAGGAGGCCAGGACCAGGTCCCTGAGTCCAGCCCTGCGCCCAGGAGGAATCCTGGGACCTGGAGGTCAGGCATAAAGGGAAGTCCTGTCTTCACCCAGTCCAACAGAGGGTCCAGGGTCTGACCCAGGACATGTGGCTCAGAAGGCACAGCTGGGGACATGCATGTGTGTGTACACCACATGGCACAACCATCCCAGAGCACGTATGCACTATGGGTAGCCCAAGGAGGCCAGTACAGAACTCTGTGCACCTGGGACATGCCAAGATGGGGCTCTCCAAACTCATGCTGGTGTGCAGACCAGCAAGCGGACTTGGGTGAGGCAAGGTCTCAGGGTGCTGGGCAGAGTTTGGGGCCAATTCCTGAGGCTCCAGCAGAAGAGGCCCGGCATAGTCTTTCCCCCATCCTGTCCCTGTGGAGATAGATAGCCCCTAGATCCCTGCCTGCTTGGCCTATGTGGGAGGTCAAAGGCAGACAGCACACCATATCCCGGGGGAACCCACTGACCGTGGTTTTGACTGACTGAGACCTCAATCTGGCCTGATCACTAGTCATACAGGTGAGAGTGGTAGACTACATCCCAGTCTCTCTTCTCTGTTCTTGGACAAACTGTGCTGAGACTTCCTTGATAAACACCTCTGAGTAGTCAGGCACAGTCCACGTTACCTGCCAGCTGTGTTGCATGTGACCTGTGACATGATCGGAGGATCCAGAGAGCCAGACATGCCTTTTAGCCAATTACAGTACCATTGTTAGGTGGGAGGACTGGGGGTGATGCCCTTCTGCCTTCCTCTTTCTTAGTCTTTATAAGATTGTGTTTGCTTCACAATAAATGAACATGCTCAATCAGACTGTCCCTGGTGGTTTATGCTGCTAAACACTGATTCCTCTCCCCCTCAGTGGTCATGGGGGCCTGCTGGTCAGGAAACTCCTGAGAGATCACCCACCTCAGATGGGGTTATGAGCCTCCAGATTACCTCTCTGTGGCTTACCTCCAGGACTTTAACACGACAAAAGTGGCCCCACAGACTCTAAGGTCCTAGGATGAGGTCCACACGCCAGTGTTGATGGCACACCAGCACCCACAGCACATGTCAGCACCAAGGCACACACCAGCACCCTGCAGCATATTTCCTCTTTTTTCCCCACATTCTCTTTTTCCCTTCCTGTATCTAGGGGAAGGGGAGAGATAAAGAGAAAAGCCACACCCACCCTCCCAACCATCCCAAGGTCCCCAATGTGGTGGGGACTGCTCAGGTGGTTTTGATAGTTCAGCTGTTCTGAATTGATGCCAATCTTGCCATTCCAAGCACGATGAAATCTCTTCAGAATCCACTGGCTGACATAGTCCACCTTAGCGTCTCCACTTGCCCAGTTTTTCACTGCCAACACTTGGCTAGGGTTGTTGATCAGTTTGTTCTGTCCTCTGTTGTGGTACGAGATATCTTCTGCAGGCTCCAATGTACTTCCATATCTTCCATGTGCACCTGGATATGCTGTCCACTGCTCTGAGCCACTGAGGAGGCTCAGCTTTGATTCACGCACTCCACGGTCAGACCATGGAACCTGCAATTCTCATTCCAATTTTATTATATGTGCTGCCGAAGTGAGCACAGAACCTGCAGTTCTCTTCATGGTTGGGGTTCTGAGTCCAGCAGTTCAATTGGGGTTATCCCCAAAGAAACTTTGTTTAAAGTGATCCCAGACCAGATTCTTGTGTGTGCTTGCCAGTACAGGATCCGCCACAGTCCATCACCCCATCAGCTTATGCATATGTTGGTGGTTGTAATTGCTGGGTCAATTCTGCCTCCAGCCTCAACTTCTACACAAACCAATGAGTGATGGAGCCCATCCCAATCCTGCCCACCACACACTTAGCCACGTAAATCCTAATAACCCTCACCAGGCCTGCCCCCTGCCCTGGTTCCCATGCTTGTCACTATGTACAGACACTGGTTCAGTTTGTCAACGGACATTAAAGCCTAGTTCATGGGCACGATAGCATAGCAGTTAAAGTTCTGGCCTTGAACATGCTCGAATTACATATGGGTGCCAGTTCTAATCCAGGTGGCCCCGCTTCCCATCCAGCTCCCTGCTTGTGGCCTGGAAAAGTAGTCGAGGATGGCCCAAAGCTTTGAGACCTTGCACCTGCATGGGAGACCTGGAAGAAGCTCCTGGCTCCTGGCTTTGCATTGGCTCAGCTCCAGCCATTGCGACTACCTGGGAAGTGAACCGTCAGACGAAGATCTTTCTCACCGTCTCTTCTCCTCTCTGTATATCTGACTTTCCAATAAAAATAAATAAATCTTAAAAAAAAAAAAAAGAAAAAGAAAAGATAGGCCTGGCAGCGTGGCTTAGCAGCTAAAAGTCCTCGCCTTGAACGTGCCGGGATCCCATATGGGCAACGGTTCTCATCTAGCTTTCCATCCAGCTTCCTGCCTGTGGCCTGAGAAAGCAGTTGAGGACGACTCAAAGCCTGGGGACCCTGCACCTGGGTGGGAGAGCCAGAAGAGGTTCCTGGTTCCCGGCTTCGGATCGGCATAGCACCGGCCGTTGCAGTCACTTGGGGAGTGAATCATCGGATGGAAGATCTTCCTCTCTGTCTCTCGTCCTCTCTGTATATCTGACTTTCCAATAAAAATAAATCTTAAAAAAGAAAAGAAAACATGAGGGGATTAGAAGCCACTAGAATGCCCCCACCCCAAGTCCCAGGGCCTGGACTTCAGCCCCAGCCCTGCTCCCTGCTCACGTGCACCCAGGACGGCTGCAGTCCATGGGATCCAGGTAGCCTTCTGCCGGACCTGGAGGCATTCCCAGAGTCCAGACCCTGGGGCCCAGCTAGCCTTGTGGAGGATCTCAAGGACTTCCCAGAGCCCAGCTTCAACCTGGCCCAACCCCAGCTGTTTGGGGAATTTGGGGAGTGAATCAGCAGATGGAAGCATTGCTTTTTTTCCAAAGTGAAAATAAAATTTAAAAAAATTTTTAATTAGGGCCCGATGCAATAGCATAGTGGTTCAAGTCCTCACCTTGCACGCACCAGGATCCCATATGGTCACCAGTTCTAATCCAGGTGGCCCCACTTCCCATCCAGCTCCCTGGTTGTGGCCTAGGAAAGCAGTCAAGGATGGCCCAAATCCTTGGGACCCTGCACCCGCATGGGAGACCTGGAAGAGCTCCTGGCTCCTGGCTTCAGATTGGCTCAACTCCAGCTGTTGGGACCGCTTGGGGAGTGAACCATCGGAAGAAAGATCTTCCTCTCTGTCTCTCCTTCTCTCTATACATCTGCCTTTCCAATAAAAATTAGTAAATCGCCACAACCCTCCTTGCCCCTCCCCTGTATCCGGGTCCCCCGTCCAAACAGCACACACAGAGGAGACTCCAGTCCGCACTCAGACCCCAGATTAAGAGATCCAGAGCTCAGAAAAACACGAACTAGGTCTTGGGGTTCCCTAAATCCCTGAGTTCCCAAACCTGTGTTTGAGAAGTGCCCTGACTGAGAGTCACCAAGCATCTCTCCAGCCCCGCCCCCAACCCTAGGCAAACGACCCCGGCTCTGCCCCACCTCTGCCCCACCCCTGCTTAGAGCAGGAGCCCGACTTCCGGTTGCCAGGCGACCACGTCACAAGCCGCAGGAGCTTGGAGGCTCCCAGTCCAGGGAAACTGAGGGTCTGGGGCCGAGAACTCTAAGGGAGGGGTCGGCTGGCTGGCGGCTGCGCGTTTTCCTGCTCCCCCGTGGGTCCCACTCCATCTGCCCACCCCAGATTCAGGTCAGAGAGTGGGAGCGCTCTTGCCCGTATACACACGCGGAAACGTGCAACCCACACGGGCTTACCGCGTGCTGGCGCACACAGTGGAGCCCACCCCGTCCTCCCCTGCAGGCTGGCGTCCGGGACTGGCGCTGCGGGGATCCCCAGCGGCCTCCAGCTCTGAGGCTGACCTGAAACCAGGGGGTTCTCGGCATTTTCTCAGTTCGAACAGCAGCTGGTAGGGCAGGGAGGGGACAGAGATCCGAGACGGCAGGTGGGACCTCAAGTGGGATCGCTGATGGAACGGCAGGTGAGGCTGCAGGTGGGCTGGGGCCGCTGCCAGGGTGCTTGGCAGTGTTGGGGCCATCCCGGGCACCCACGGTGCCTATGCTCCCCTCTGCAGGGCCGAACAATGCAGCGGCGGCGGTCGACGGAGGCCGGAAAAAAGGGTCCAAGGGACCACACCAGGGGGAGCGCACACGCAGCACGGCGCGCCAAGGGGGCACCCTCGACGGAACCCCCCAAGCCCCGCTGGTCCTTGACGCAGGAGAGCTTGGCCGCCATGTCCCCCGCACAGCGCCACCGCCACCTGCTCTTTGGCGACCTGCTGCACGACGTGGGCCTGGCCCCCTCCATCTTCCCCCGCGAGTCAGTGGAGGTGACACACCGTATACCTGATCCGCGCGCCTGGACACAGCCGCTCGAGCCGCCCGGCGAGCCTCAGGACCGGCTCGTCGGCGTCCTCAAGGCGGCAGAGGCCCGCGGACGCGTCCGCGCACTGCGGCTGCGCTACAACCGGCTTCGGGTGAGGCAACGGGACGGCGGGTGGGCGCGGAGCGGGGGGGACGCTGCTCGCGGCCCTCCCTCTGCACCCTGGGTCCGCACACCCTCGCTGAGCGACCTCCGCGCCAGCAGGCCGAGGAGATCCTACTGCTCATCCAGCACCAGCGGTCTGCGCGCGCCGCCATGCGGCTCGAGGTGTTCCTGCCGCCGCAGCTGAAGCCCACGCGGATCCCGGACCCGCTGGACCGTCAGGAGGTGCCCGTGAGCCCAGGGAAAGGCGAAGGGGGCCCCACCAGAATGCACACGCGACCCCAACCTCTGTCCCCACAGCGGCGGCGCGTGGAGACCATCATGGAGGACAAGGCCGAGGGCGGCAACTTCCTGCGGTGATCCCTGCGCACACCCCGCACATAAAGTTCTCTTCTTCGCACATGGTCCGGTCCTTCCGCAGAGCCCCAGAATCCCGCATGCACGGTACCTTCGCAGCCCAAGGTTCCCAGAGTGGCCCCTTATGGCGAAAGGAGATGTGGGGCAGGGGCAGTGCAGCCCCACGATCCTATCCCCCAGAAAGGGTCACTTCCCCAGCAGCCACACGGCCCGTGGTGGGACAGGTATTCCAGACAGGGCAGTGCCCCCACACACACTCAGCAGGGGGCACAGGGCTTACCCCTCTCCCCCCAGCTAGCTAGTGCCCACTCCTCTCCTCAGAGGTCCCAGAATCCCCCCACCCCCTGTGAACCTCTGCTGGACTGAGCTGGGGAAGAGAGGAGAGAGAGTAGGCAGGGAGGGTATGGGCTTGGGTAGGAAACATGGTGGTAGGGGAGGCTGGTCCCTCCCCTCAGACAAGCTCCTGTGATCCGAACACCAACTTCCGCTCTGGGGACTGCTACGTGCCAGTCAACCAACTGCTCATTACCGTTACTTCTCATTTCTTCACCTATAAGACAAGGTCTGGGGCAGTGCCTCCCACCCACCCATGAGTACCCAGGACCCACCACTCTGGAAGCTGGAGGCCAGCAAGAGGTGGCCAGGGTGGCTGCATCAGGGGTCTGCCTGGCACCAGGGTCCTCTTTGTCCCTAGCCAAGGAGAGATCGGCCACTAGGGAAGCTGGGGTAAGGTAAGGGACTGTTCAGTTCCGGGCCCACCATCCTCTGCCCTGCTCACCAGGTCTTGCCTGAGAATTCAAAGGAGTGGTGCGCAGCCTGAGAGGCCAGAGGATGGGAGGTGGGCAGTGGGGGGTGGACGCCAAGTGACCCAAGGGGGAAGGGAAAGCTTGCCCCTATCGTATCAAGTGCCACAGACTGGGGGCTGTGTGTCCTCAGCCTTTGCCCAGCCTCCTGTCCTCATCTATGGCCTCACAGTGCTGTCCTCAAGGCCAGGGAAGTGGCAGCCAATATCCTGTCCTGGGGTGCAGAGCAAGAACCTACCTGGCCTCCTGCGTTCTGGCAGAGCTGCACTTGGGCAGCCTCTCCCTGCCACTCCCGGCCTCTCGTCTGGTCCAATTCTGGCTCTGGCGGTCCAGTTGGTCAGTTGGTCCAGTTGGTCTGCCTTGCTGTTGGACTGGTTGGATGGGGGCCGGAAAGGATGGGCAGCTCTCGCGGCCTGCAGGAAACGTGCTGGGAGCAGCGGTGCGGGTGGAAAACGTCTGTGGGAAGGAAGTAGACTCCCAGAGCCGGCCAGGTCATGCGGAGGCAGACAGGAGCAGTCCGCAGGTGGCAGCGTACACTACTAACCACTTCCAGAGCAGGATCGGGCTCACCCGTACACTGAGTCAAAGCCTGGGCATTCGTGGTTTCACGCTGGGGTCCCTGCAGGAGCCACCGGGAACTCGGCCCGTTCCCCCCCACCCACCCCCCGTCCACGCGACTCCGAGCTCGAGAAAGCCTGCGTCTGCTGCCCCCCCCCCCGTCTGGAAGCGCCCTGGACCCGGGGGCGCCTCTGCTGCCCCGACGCTCTGCCGGCGGCCGCCCTCCTCCGAGCAGACCGGGCTGCACACGGGCCAGAGCCCGTTGTCCACGCGCATCGCGAAGCGGACCACACCACCACGCGGCGCGGGGCCCGCGGGCACACCCCCCGCACGCCACAGCGCCATCTCCCGGGCCACCGGGCCGGCTCGGGGGGCGCGGGGCGGGGCGGGCGGCGCGAGGAAGTCCCGGCCCGCGCTTTGGGGAAGTCCGGCCCGCGCCTGCGCGCTGCGCCCGCGCCCCCTCCCCGCCGCCGGGGCCGGAGCTCGGAGCGCGCAAGGCGGCGGCGCTGGCGGCTCGGGAGCGCGGCCGGTGAGTGTGCGCGCGGCGCCGGGGACGCCGGCCCTGCCCTCCGGCCCGGGCCGGCAGCGCGCGGGCGATCCGCCGCAGCCGGCCACGCGACCCGCGCCTGGGGTGCCGCAGCCACGGGTCCACGTGGACCCCGGGCCGCGGCGGGACGGGCACCCGCCCCGCGCCTGGGGGAGGGGCGCCGCGGCGGGTTCCCTTTTTGTGCAGCTCGCGGGCCGGGGAGCGATTGCCTCAAGGCGGGGGCGGAAGGACCCAGGCTGCCCGGAGGGGAGCGGCTCCACCCGGCCTTACCGCGAGTCGGACGGGAGGCGCAGCGCTCCGGGCCGTGACGGCCGCCCTCGGGACCGCTGCGGGGGACCTTGGCCGCCCAGCCGGAGCGCTGCCGCCGCTGCGGGGCACGCCCCTTCAGTCTCCAGGGTGGGGCCACTCGAACCGGGCCCCCTCCGCCCCCAGCCCTTCTGGGGTCGTGGTGAGTGGGGGTGCCGGGGCGGGGTGGCAGAGTCTGGAGGATACGGCGTCTGCACCCACCCACCCCCGCCTCCCCGCGGGACCCTCCCGGTGATGAGAGCGGACGACTCGCCCCTCCTACTCGCGGCGGGGCAGGAGTCGCGGGTGCAGCGCCGTGGGGAGGGCAGTGGTCGAGCCGAATGCCTGTGCACCCCCTCCCAACACTGGGCCCTCTGCCGAGATTGTCACATTTTCTGGATCTTTTTTTGGTCTGGTCCGGCTCTAGGCCGTCCCCTTCTTCCTTCTGAGGAGCACAGCGGAGCCGCTCTCGCGGGAGCCTGGTCCTTAGGGACTGAGTTGCTGACTGGCTGGGGCGGGGAGTTGGGGCGCTGGGCCCCTCCTGTAGGACAGGGAAGTGGCCACCGCTGGCTGAGAGAACAGGCGACCCCAGCTTTGGCCAACACATACCCGACCCCATTCTGGCCCCCTGAGGTGCCATGCACAGGGAGGGGCCTTCAGTCCTAGGGAAGCTGGGCCCCAAGCTGCTGTCTGCCTTCTACTTCCTTCAGGCCTTGGACTGCGTCCCGCCTGAGCACCACTCCCAGCTCCTGTAGTGTGAACCAGGAGTAGACATGGCTGGAGGGAGGAGGGATTTGGGGTGAAAACCAGAAAAATCAAAAGCAGATCCTGCCTCTTGGCCACATCCCCGCAGCCGGAAGCCAGAGGGGCCCACCTGGTGGAAGGTGGCTCTGCCGAGGGTCTTCAGGGGTCACCTTCCCTGCAGCGACCCCCACCACCTGGCTGGCCCTGTGTGCAGTGGTCTCTCAGCCTGGACATGCTGGGCTAGGAGGCAGGGGAACCAAGGTGCCAGTGCGGTGTGGCGGTCCTGGGGCCGGAATTCCGGCACTTCACTACTCCTCAGCCTACAGCCTTGCCCACTCTCAGGCCTGGCTATCTGGCTGTGGCAAAGATCACCGCTCACCTCTGCACCCTGCGTGGACAAGGGCAGGGGGAGCCATGCTGAATGTTGTCACCCCTTGCACCAGCCCCCTTGGGAGGGGCCCAGGAGCCGGAAACCAAGAAAGAGGAACGCAGGCTTCCGGCTTCCCAAGGCCCCAGCCAACAAGGCGTCCCAGAACCACCTGCGGGGGCCTCATCCGGGGCCCACCTCTGGGGCCCCTCGCCACATGGGGTGCAGGCCACAGGATTGGCCCAGGGTCCCAAGTTTGGCTAAGGACCTGGACCCCTCTTCCCAGGCCCCCAGGCTGTGGTGAGGGCCTAGGAGCTGGTGTCTCGGAGCCCGGGCAGCCGGTGTCTTCCACCCATGCCCACCCCACATGAGGCTGAGAAGCAGGTACCTTGGCCCCTGGGTAGAGGGTCTGCCAGGGGTGATGGGAGCCCCTGGGTGCCCGGGCTGTGTGCTTAAGGGTCACAGGGTCCAGCATGAGGCTTGATGTAGCCCCTTTATCTGCCCCTGTCCCCAGCACACCGGGCCTGAAGAGGCAGCGCAGCCTCCGTCCATGTCTGTCCGCGATGGGGCCTCTGCGGTGGCCCCTAGCCGCAACCCCTGCTGCCTGTGCTGGTGCTGCTGCTGTAGCTGTTCCTGGTAAGTGTCCGGGCTGGGTGAGTGGGACCACCGTCTCACACAGGCCCCCTGGCATCAGGCACACTCATCTGCTCTCTGTATGTACCTGACTACTGTTGGCTGGGGATCCAGGAGCTCAGGCCTGAGTAGGGCTCCAGCCAGGGCAGGGAAGCTGCTGGACTGGATGGTCACCGAGGCCCTGAAGGGAGGCAGCTGCAGCTTGCCAGCCAACCCAGCAGGCATGAGGCAGAGGATGGGGCACAGGCAGATGCCCCTGACACTTGCTACCCCAGGCGTGGTCCATCTCAGAGGTACACGTGGTCCAGGTGCCTGAGAGGCTGGCAGGCCATGGAAGAACCAGCACAGGCCTAAGAGGCTGTCCTGGGTGTCCTCGGTGTCACCTGCTTGTCTACGGCCCCGCAGTGCAGCCCTCGTCTCTGCCTCAGGAACCAGCAGCGGCGGCGAGCCTGGCAGGCCTCCCGGGAGAGCAAGCTACAGCCCCTGCCCAGCTGCGAGGCATGGTGAGTTGTATCTGTGCCTGTACCCAGTGCATGTGTGAGCCCAGTATGTGCACGTGTGTGTGTGTGTGTGTGTGTGTGTGTGTGTGTGTGTGTGTCGGAGTCACTGGGCTTGGGGCCCCTTCCTGAAGTGCCCAGGCCCCACCCACAGTGCTGCCCCGAGCCCAGAGGAGGTGCAGAGCTGGGCACAGTCCTTCGACAAGCTAATGAACAGCCCGGCTGGCCGCAGCGTGTTCCGCGCCTTCCTACGCACCGAGTACAGTGAGGAGAACATGCTCTTCTGGCTGGCCTGCGAGGAACTCAAGGCCGAAGCCGAGCAGCACTTGGTAGACGAGAAGGCACGGCTCATCTATGCCGACTACGTGTCCATCCTGTCTCCAAAGGAGGTGTGTAAGGGATGGGGCAGAGGGCCAGGTCTGACGGGATCCAATGCCCAGGGAGGTAAAGCTGTCTGCTCTGTGTAGTGGGGCTTCTGCCAGGACTGACTGTGGCCCACAGGTAAGCCTGGACTCGCGGGTACGTGAGGGCATCAACAAGCGGATGCAGGAGCCATCGGCCCATACCTTCGACGACGCCCAGCTGCAGATCTATCGGCTCATGCACCGGGACTCTTACCCCCGTTTCCTCAGCTCCCCCACCTACCGCGCCCTGCTGCTGCGTGGAACCCCCCAGCCCTCCTCCGAGACCTAGGCCACCGCCACTGCGCACACCCTGGACCCTGCAGACCCAGCCCTGGTACCCCTACCCAGGGCTCCTGCGCAGTGAGGAGGGCTGGCTGCTGCTGGACAGTCAGCCCTCGCCTCAGCTAGTATGACCCACTGCCCCCAGAGCCTACACTGGGACTTGATGTCTGGCGTCCATGAACTTTAAACCCAAAGGCACAGCCTCACTGTTGGTTGGGAACAAGGAGACATCTTCATCTTTACTTCTGCCTCTGCCCACCACAATCAGATCACATCACCGAAAGCATTCTCAGAGCACAAGGCCCCCATTTGTGTCTACACTGGGGGGCGGGACTCCAGGCTGGGAAGGGGGACCAACCTCACACCCGAGGCTCCCACCCAGAGCTTAAGCCCCTTGGCTGGAGATGGGCAGTTCCCTGGGTAACTAGAGGTGGCCCTGAAAGCAGGTCATAGGCCCACTGAGGGAATGGAGGCCAGCTGTACCAAGAGCATGGGCAAGTAATGCCCTGGCCCTCAGTTGCCCAGCCTCCAGCAGGCAGTAAACACGAGTGCCTCCCTTTGTGTGGCTAGACTACTCTAGCACCCAAATTCACAAAGCCCTGATCTTGGGGACCACCCAGTGCTTCAAAAGGCCCAGCCCACACCTGTGCATAAGCCACAACCAGAAGCTGGGGTAGAGAAGAGAAACGTTTAATACTGAGAAGAAGGGCACATGGAGTAGTTTCTGGGGTTGGCTGAAGCCGCATGGAGGGGAGGACATGGGTAGGTCTGTCAGGGCCAGGGGTGCAGCACCTTGACCTGGAGGCTCAACAGAACTGTAAGGGAGAAGCAAGAAGCACCCTGCAGCGTGCCAGGCCTAACTGGCCCGGCCACCCACAGCCCAGGCCCAGCAGCCTACCTTCCAGCGGTTCCCACACTCATTGCAGACGACAAAGGTGGTCATAGGCTCATCAGAGCTGCGGGTCTGCACCTGTGGGGGTGGGCAAGTGATCCCATACCACCTCAGCCCCAAGCTAGGCCTGCATGGGAGAGGGCCCGTGGCGAATGGGATCCCTGCACGGCAGGGTGCCCAGACCTCACCTGTGTGTAGGTGCAGTTCTTCTTCCGGCATTTGCTGCAGGTGAACAGGTCTGTCTGTGTGCCGCCGGTGCGGGCCATCTGGTGCTCGCGGATGGCCTCCTTCGTCATGGCCTTGCGCATTTCCTTTAGCTCATCACTGGCCATCTCCTGGGGTGAGGGGCCAGGTACTCAGCCCACCCCTCCGCAGGGCAGCCCCCACCCCCTAGGGCTCACCTCCGAGGTCATCACGGCGATCTGCTGGGGCGTGATGGCGCCACACAGCACATTCCGCCGCAGCTCGGGGTTCTTGGCATCTCTGAGGTTGGAGATGCGGCTGCGCACACGGTTCTTGTACTTCATGTCTGTGCTCCCCACGTCCAGGAAGATGCGTGCAGGCACTTAAGGACCTGTCTGAGGCAGGTGCTTCCCCCACCCACCTGCAAGAACGACCATGTTCTACCCATCTGTGGTGGAGGCAGCCAGGGGCCTGAGTGAGCTAAAGGGACCAGCAGGCAGAATCCACCCCTCTACGCACAGGCTCCCTGACCACCCAGATAAAGGCCAATAACTGCTATGGCAAGTCAAATCTCTGCCTACAACACCAGCATTCCGTGTGGGTGCTAGTTCAACTCCTGGCTGTTCTGCTTCCAGTCCTGTTCCCTGTTAACGGCCTGAGAAAGCAACAAAGGACAGTGCAAGCCCTTGGGACCTGCACCTATGTGGGAGACCTGGAACTGGCTCCTGGCTTTAAACTAGCCCAACACTGGGGGAATGAACCAAACAACGGAAGAGTTCTGTCTCTCCCTGTAACTCCAATTTTGAAAATAAATAAATTCCTAGAACAAAAGGACCTGTGGTTACACAAGGAGCTCTGGGCAGCTAGATGAAGGAACCTTGGGGTGCCCAGGCTGTCCTAACTGCCAGAAACCTGGGGTGCAAAAGGATATACTCTTCAATCTGTGCTGACAGGTGCTCGCAGTCTGTCCCCGTGGCCATGTGGTCACCTGCAACAAGTAGCCACAGCCACTGGAGAGGCTCTGCCCCACCCAGGTCTGGGTAGTGGACAGAGGATGGGGCTGCCTCCCCAAAGCAGAGCCAGCAGACTCACTGTCCGACTGCAGGGCAGCAGTCAGCATCTCACGGCACTTGGTGCGCACAGCGTCACAGGTGATGGGCACCGGCGGGAATGTGGTGATCCTCGGGGTGGATGGTGTCCTGGGCATCTCTGGCCTCCTGCGGCTGTGCAGATAGCCCCACCCACACTCCATAAGCCCATCCAGCCTGGCACTGCTGTGGGGTCTGCCCAGTGGCAAGGGTGTCCACCCTCTGGAACCACTATAGGGGAGGTGAGTTGGTGTTGTCCCAGGTCAGGCGCGGGCAGTACAGACATCAGTGAGGGCCAGTAGTTCTCTAGAGAGGTGCATACCATAGATCAAAGTAGCTGATTGTGACCCAAACCCTGCCCATCCATCACTAACACACCTCCAGGCTCTGTGTCACAAGGTCTGGCAGGAGGGACACAGGCCCCAGGACTGCCAGAGTAGGCTGGCCAAGACAGATCCTAGGGAGAGCTAGCATTGACCAGGAGAGGATGCCTCTGAGTGTGCCAGGGTCAGATGCAGCAGTACCTGCTTCCCAGACAATCCACTTCCCAGCGGTTCTACCTGGGATCCACAGCCTCGGAGGCATCCCTGGAGGCGTCCCTGGAGGATGAGGCAGGCAAAGGTGGGCCCCTCCCCCGGTCCCTGGCTTTGCCGTCAGAAGCATCTACAGTTTCCAAAGAGGATAGGTAATGAGAGGAGGGACTGGGGCCCATCCCCAGATCCTATCGCCCAACTCTTTGGAGTCCACCCTCTTGAATCCCAAGCTTTGCGCAGGGCATAGCAACGCCTGCCCTGTGCCCAGATCACGTGGCTCTCGCACAGGTGAGGATGGTGCCTGGGACAGTCTAACAGCTGGCTGTGAAGGTGCCCATCACACCACAGTCTCCCAGAAGCAGCAGCAAGATCCTGCTGCTGCCCCACCCCTGCCCCTGTTCCAGGCCCCGGTCAGCAGCTTCCTGGGTACCTCGGCTTTACCCTTGTCTCGTGTGACCTTCCCCTGCCCATGAGGGTCCTATAGCCTCCTGGCCACCTTCGGTGCCCCCTGTCAGCACAAAACCCTGACCAACTGATGGACACCCCTGACTTCCAGCCCTGAGCAAGGTGGTTGTAGGTCCATGTTTGTCCCTGCCATTCCCAGGTGACCCAGGTGGGGGTATTACTGTGTAGCCCAGCAAGAATCCAGTGTTTCCTAGGCACCCCCAGCCAAGCATTGGGCCTCACTGCCTGACCCGCACCCAGGAGCTTCTTCCAGGATTTGATGAGGGACTTGGCCAGCGTGATGACCTCCACATCCGAGCTCTGCTTCCTCAAGGCGTTGACAGACATCCCAACACGAGTGGCCTAGGAGGCAAGCCACCTGAGTTGGGTGGTGGGGACCCTCACTAGTGTCAGACCCCCGATGGCTCCCCAGTGGCAGGGGACGGGGTAGGACACCTCAACTTCTCCCCTATCCAGCCAAGCCAGGAGCAGGCCAATGCCAACCAAGGCCTGGGGTACCCTACCCAGGAAGTGCCCCAGCCTGGGGCAGGCAGGGCCCTACCTGCAGCAGGTGCAGGGTGACAGGCAAGCCCTTCAGCTCCTTCAGCAGGTCCACAGCGCCCTCCTGGAAGAAGAGATCCTCCCTGAAGGATTCCATGCTCAGTGGACAATCCCACCTCCTCCTGCCCACAGGATGGGGCAGGACAACAGGCTATCACTGCAGGTCACGTGACATCACTTCCCTAACCACAGGAGAGGTCACCTCTGTGTAGGTCAGGAGCCTGGTCCGTGCCTACTACAGAAGACGCCTGCAGCCTCCCTGCATTCCACCGTCACATTGCGGAAACCCCCAACACCCAAGGAGCCCATGACCTCTGCACAGCAGGGTAGCCTGCCACCACGGCCCCTTTCTCCACTCCCCCACCCTGTCTTTCCACGACTGCCTCTGGGGTGCCATGCTGCACCCAAACAGGGGCAAGACCCTTCAAGGCCCCACAGTACCACTGAGCCAGGCCTCTGTGCTCCTGTAAAACTTACACCAAGATGTCCACAGGAGGGGCAGGGACCATCCAGGTCCTGCAGCCCCTCCTCGGCCGGAGGCTGTGCTCCCCCGGGGGTGGCTCTCGGTGGGCTCAGCAACAGGTACGCACACAGCCCCAAACACGGTCCCTCCCCCAAGGCCCCAACCTGGGCGGGTTCCCCACCCACCTCCACCCCAAGGGTAGTGAGAGCCCCGCGGCCCCCACGCAGGGCTTCTCCATACTCCTGCTTTCTGCTTCCAGCCACCCCCACTCATGCGGTCAACCCCAGCCCAGGACCCAGACTCCTCCTGGCGGGGCCTGAATGCCGCCCCCCCGCCCCCACTGCCGAAGCCCATGACTCAGCCCTCTTGGGGCGCTGGCCCGGAGCCGGGCGGGGGGCAGGGGCCTGTCTGTGGAGCCCCTCAACGGGACGCCCGAGCCCCGCCCACCCGTCTCCCGGGAAGCGTCCGCGGGGTCGTGCAGCCGCCAAGGCCGAGGACCGGGCTCCACAGGACAGCAGGCCCGAGCAGGGCGACGGCCGGGCGGCTGAGGGCGGCTAGCTGAAGGAAGTAGGTGCTGCGGCTGCCGTCCTTCCCCTCGGGGCGGGGCGGGGGTCCCGAGGCCCGCGCCCCTCACCGCGCTCTTCTTGGTCACCATCTTTTCCAGCCTGCGGGCTATCCGCGCGATCTCCTCCTCCTTGCCCGTCATCGCTCGGGGCGGAACCCCGCGCCGGCTCGGACCGGACCCCGGCAGCCGCCTCCGCACCCGCCTCAGCCGCCGCCGGCCGACCCTCGGCTCAAACCCCCGGCGCCGTCGCCGCGCGCTGCACCCTGGGACGCGTAGTTAGCGCGCGCTCACGGCCCCGCCCCGCCCCGAGCGCTCACGGCCCCGCCCCCGCCTCGCGCAACAACGGCCCCGCCCCCGCCCCGCCCCGCCCCGCGCGATCACAGTCCCGCTCTCGTTCCGTAAAACCACGGCTCCGCCCCCTCCCCGCCCCACGCCCTCACGGTCCCACCCCGGCCCCGCCCCTCTGCAACCACGGCTCCGCCCCTCCTGCCCACGGCCCCGCCCCGCCCGCTC